GTATTTTTTTCTTTGACTTCCAACTTTTAAATGTTTTTGCTATGCCTTAACGCCAAATTTTGACGTAATTTTCGTTAAGAAATTACGGAAATATCCTTTTTGCCACCAAGGTTTAATTTTTAAGGTTTTTTTAGAAAGTTCCCCGGTTGAATATATGGCCAAAATTTTACGATACTGGGCTTACTAAACGCCAAAAGTACACAAAAAAACTTTTAAAATGCCTACGAGTGATTTCTGGGTTTCTACAGGAAAATCCCCCCCCCCCCCCCGATAATGTAAAAGCACCTTGATTTTGCTATCCGTTTTGTAGCGCCTAGGATTAATGACAAGTCAAAAATGTGGTAAGAGTTTACTTTACGCTGCCCCCCCCCCACAGCCGAAGGGTCTCAAAGTTATCGATATTTTCGCTTATTTTGTCGGGATTTTTGCAACGCCATTCGATAGAGCGTCGAAAAGTATACTACGAATTTTAATTTGAGTCTACTATAAAGTAAAGTAAAAAAGTTAAAACATTCCGGCTGGGGGGGGGGGGGGGTGTGGTAAAGTCAAGCGTAACTAAAAATGTCGATAAATTCTTAAAGTCATCCGCCTGCTACAGCTCTTCCAATAAACGCCTCTATTCACCAGGTCCGAATCTCCGACCCCCACCTCGGGGCTTCATTTACGGTTTATGGGTGCGCCGGAATGACCGTCGGTATCTCTGGCCTCTCCTCCCTATCCATACTCCCTCATCCAGTCGGGTGCTGCTGATTCGTCCGCCCAGCTGGCCTGCACACATCGCCACCCCCGGCCTGCACCACCAAATTCCTACGCAAATTTTCTGCTGGCCAGCCAGATAGTTTGCGTGACGTAACTACCATTTTTTCGGGCACTCACAATTTCTTTGATTTCCCGTTTTATACACAAGTGAAGATTTGATTCTTTTTGCTGTACAGTTTTCAAGCCTTTTCTCGATTTTGCTTGGCTAGGAATTCGATTTCAGATCCTGGTAATGATTAAATCACCGCAAGAATTTACTTTGAAGGTCTAAGACGCCCATTTTTTCGAGAAAAATATTTCTTACCAAGGTCTATGAATCTGCTTGGGGAGTGGCCTTAAAGCCTCTCTCGGATACTCTCACCGGCATGTTGCCGTGGTCTATTGTTAATGCGCTTGTCTACTACACTTTTGGATTTTTTACGCGCGGGTTCGATTCCCAGCTGAGGGGAAGCTTTTGCTTTTTTGCTTTCTGATCCAATTGGCTATGATTTGGTGTGAAAAAAAGAAGAAACAAGGAACACCAGGGATTTCTGATCACTTTAAGGATAGTTTTGCAAGAAATCAAAAAAAGGCGGACCAGACGGAAAATAAATCCGAATTTAGTTATGTTAAAATCAATTTTTCTCGACCGCCTCGGCGATTAAGCAAATTTGGAAAACGTCATCTTGTTCAGAATTTTTTTCTCTATCGAATGTCGTTTATATCTTTCATTACCACTGGGATGTCACTCAAGCCGCTTCTCCCTAGCGCCAAAACCATAATTTCCCTGATTGAACCCCTCAACTTTTAGGGGGTCCATCTGCTGGGTGGTGGGTGGTGTGGTGGTCGTTCGTTCGTGTCAGAATTTATGAGCCTTTGCCGGGGGCCTTCCTTTGAAGGGCCCTCTTCTATCGACGTTTCCTTCCATCCCATTCTCGACGCCTTTTGCGGGCCAAACCGAGCTTTCAGCGTCCCATTTTAGTGTTCTGCCTTGAGACGGAAGGCTGGGCCTTGCCCTTGATTTTATGTCTTAAGAATTTATGGTTGTAAAATATATATTCAGGAATTTCTTTGCTAATTTTGATTGTTGTCTCTTCCTTTCGAGGTACTGGTGTAATTTTAAAGCGACTAGGAAACCCTAAAATTGGTGTTTCAGTGGGTAAGTGCCTACAGCTACGCGTCACGCCAAAACACTTGCAAAACTGCTCTTTGCTATCCGCTTCGAAAACGCTTTTGAAGGGAAAATTTCTCGTATTTTGTCGCCACGCGTAGCTGTCGATACCAAAATTAACTGGTTGTGCCGCAGGCTTTTTCTCTTTCCACTCCCGTTAAAGGCCGCATTTTTCGGTTCTTTCCCATTATCGGGGGTTTATGTATGCTTGGAAATGTTTAGTGGTTTTAGGGGGTTTATTACCGTTCTTAGTCAATTATAACCATATTTCAACTAGAAAACTATCTAAAAACTAGACCAAATTTTAAATTCAAATTTGGTCCAAAATCGACGGTTTTTGGGCGGAAAATCGATATTTTTGTATTTTTTAATAAAATTTGTAAAGTTGGTTCATCGAGTAATAATAGGACGCTTTTTAGAAGTACTTTTCCGAGATTGTATTTCAAAAATTGGATGCTAAGAACCCCCCCGGTAATGCGAAAGAACCCATTTTTCATCCGAATCTCCGAGCAACACCTATCTGCAGCCCTTCAGCTGGTAGCCCCGTATTCGACCTGCGATTCACCGGCCCTCGTGTCCACGGCAGGTCATTCGATTTGCATGTGAATCTGTGAGTCTCTGCACCGGGGGCTAGCGGCTGGTCTGAATAGGCAAGGGGGGAAGCCACCCCGAAACGGCACACCCTCCACATTCAAATTCCCGCCCCCACAACACCCCCCTCGGCCGGCCGGCTTTCTCCCAAAATCGGGGCCAACTTTGCGCAACATTTTTCCGGGGTTGAACGTTTCTTGATGATCGATGTAGAGTTTATTTATACTGGGCTGTTAGCAGGGGGTCCACATTTTCCTAGTAATCCTTTGGGTCCCTACACACAAATTATAGAGCTTTTTGGTAGAATTTTCCACAGTTTCAGTTAACAAAGCTCATAAAATTAAAATTATCAAAATTTTCTAACATTTTTTTTCGTAAAAACGTTTTGCGAAATTGTCAAAAAAGTAAACAATTTTGAATTTTCGATAATTTCAGTTTTTTCATACCTTTTTAGCAACCAAAAGCTACTAAAAACACTATAACAATACACTAAATATTGTCAAAACGTCGATTCCATGCTAAATAAATTACTCCCCCCCCGCTAACAGCTTAGTACCAATTTTCTAAGGTTTGCAAACACACAATTCAGACGCTAGTGTGCAAATTTAGTTTTTTAAATCCTTGGAACCATGCCAACGGTTTTCCATTGAATTTCCTATTTTAAATCTTGTAAAACCATAGATGTATTCTTAGGGGCACGTTTGAAACTTTCTTGTGCCGCCTTTCCGCTTGATAAGATAACGTCTACGGGCCGGAACGACACGGCTTGTAAAGTCGCTTGCTGGCAGATGGCCAAATCTGGCCTCCACTGCGAAGACATAATAATGGCATCTTTATCGCCTCTTTTCTCTGAAAACTTAGAACGCTGTAATTTTTAACGCAGCTTTTTCGAAGTTCAAGCGTATTTGAAGAAGCTCGGTCTTAAGCCCCTATTTTTAGCCGTCGCATTTTCCTGTAGACACCTGTTCCCCATCAGCCGATGGAATGAGTGGATCGGAATGAAGGGACGGGGGAGGGATTTGTTTGTGTGTGTGCCCTGAAGGGGGGATCGGTGGCCAAATACACAAACATACCAGGACCGAACGGGAGGAGAATGGGACCTAGCGAGAGAGAGAGAGAGAGAGAGAGAGAGAGAGCGGCGACTACCGATCATTCCATTCCACACCCTACTTATGGATTCTGGACACTTATGGACACATTCCATTCATAGGCCCTAACTGCCTTTTTTCTAACTAGATGTGAAGAAGCTTACGGGAAGTAAAAATACTCAATGGCTGGTTCGGATCACCAGGGGTTGTCCGGCCCTGAGATTGACTCTCTCTCTTTCCCTCTCTCTCTCTCTCTCCCCTCTCTCTCTCTCCCGCTCTCTCGGATCTTCCGCCCTGAGGAGAAAACGGATTATTTTACGCGCTGAGGCTAATAGCCGGTTGCTGCCGCCCGCTCCAGCTAGCCGGGTCCGTATGCTGAGGTTGGGTACACCCCCGGCTAGTCTATGCTTTATTTGCCCAGTCGTTGAATTTTTGGTATTGGTATACAACCTTCTTGGCTGTTAACGTGTAAATTTCGTAACTGAGGCCTATTTTGGGCGAAATTGGTCTATTTTGAGGAATTTTGTGCAAAACCGTTATCGTTCAAAATTTTTGAAATTTTTTCTTTTTCTTTGTTTTCTTCTTTAGTACCTAGTTTTGCTAATATAAATAGAGGCAGTGATACCGTGTTTTACTATGCCTAAACGCGGAAATCATATAAATTTTTGTAGAAAATAAAAAAATATCGATTTTCCGGTGAAAAAGAAGCTTTTCCATAACGCATTGATTTCCCCATGTAATTACTAGTTTTTCGCGCGTTCCCTAGTTGTTCCATCGAAAGCTTTTGCCCGTCCGCCGACCGTCCAGTGTATAGTGGCGTCGTCTTGGCGGCAACCACTTGACGTGACCCTCCACTTTGGTCCCGGGTCCGGATCTGGCCATCTCTTCCCCAAAACGATGCCATCCCAATGCCCCACCATGTTGTCAAAAGCCTTTTTCACGGTGCCCGGATTCCAGAGAATATTTTAATGCATTATTAAAGAGTTAAAAGTATACGAGGTATGGCCAGGATCTAAAATTTTCTGCAAAAATAGTTTACATTTTTCAACAATCAGTTTTCGTCAAAAACGTGCCTTTTGTAACATATTTAATACCAATTGTATGATGAAGGTTATTTCCTTATAAATCTAAAAACCTTAAAAACCGGAGCTCCATCCAAATCTGATCACTTTATGAGTCAGACTCCCTACCCAACGATTCCTTTCCCCCAAATCAACATTACAATCATCCACCCGGCGACTATATTTTCGTTCCCTCCGCACGGCGGTGATTCATATGGCCCCGTAGCGCGTATAGTCGCGTTTATACCCCATTTTGGTGAATTTTTCCTGCAGTTCCTAGTCTCAAACTGCCCTCTATTGTTTCCGGCTGTATTTAAAGAACATCTCAAAAAAATAAATCAGATTTTTTAGATGGTCGAGGGCCCGACACTATCCTCAATCCTCTCGCGGGCCGACCTCTGCCGGGCCGTCCCGGAAAATACCAAAAAATTGGCGGAAAAGGTCCAACCCACCGAGAATCGACTAGAATTGCAGGTGGATCTTATAGAAAACGGTTATAACAATTTTTCAGGGCCATAATGTATTTTATCGGGAAGCAAAACCGCCGGACAACCACTACGCAAAGGCGACAATCGTCTTCCTTCATGGTGGGTTAATTTTTGGCTGAACTATGCGAGTCTTCCACCTACTGTAACTCCGCTTTTCTGCATGCTATAAGCGTGCAAAGTATACCAAAACACTCGCAAGATTAAGACAAACATTTTGGTATAGGATACAATACTGGATTGAAAAATGTTTGAAAAATCAACAAAAAAATAAAAATTTTTCACAATTTTTAAATTTTTTAAGATCTCTTAATAATTTTCCAACAATTAAAAACTACTGAAAACGCTATGAAAAGACACTATCAATTATTAATTATCAGGTGGCGATAATAGGCGGAAAAATAGAGTTAGTTCCGCCCTGGAAACAGTCCAGCACCTACTTCACGTGCCTATAGCCCAATGGGGGATAGAAACAAAAAAAAACACGGCCGGCTGAGCCAACCAATTTTCCGAATTTTAATTTATTTTATTACTTTAAAAGCCATAGAATTTTTCGATTTAGGACAAAGCTTCTCCTCGACAACCTGGACGGAAAATGGGCTGCTCTCAAACATGGCCGCGCACGGGTATCACTGCATAGCCCTCGATTTGCCAGGGTCCGGCAGGACGGTTGGGCCGGCAATTCCGGCTGAGGTATTTACATTTCGGATTTCTGATTCAATAATTACATTTAAAATCAAATAAATCATATCTCGTTTAAATATATCCTCATTTCTAGGAGAAGCCCTCCTTCTTCTTGTCGTTCATCTACGGGCTCGGCCTGAAACAGCCGATGGTGGTGGCGGCGAGCATGAGCGCCCAATATATCTTGCCACTCCTTAATAGGTATCTTAGACTAAATTGAGCGTAATAGTAAAACATCTCTTAGGGATATATTTGCCTGTGTCGTTGGAGTGGCGCTGTCCAACACGCAGGAGTTGGTCGATGTTCAGAGGTAGCTGCTTAAGCTTCGGTTAGAAAAAATTATTTTAGGCTTCGCACGCCGCTGCTCTGCGTCTGGGGCGAGCGCGACACATCATTGGGCCCGTCGTCGGCAAATAATTTGAAGAATTTGCCGAATTCTAGGTATGAGGAATTATCGATACATTAAGCCTAAGCCAAGCTTAAGCCTAAGCCAAGGCCTGGCCAAGCAAAGCCTAAGCTAAATCTACGCCAGACTTAATCTCTTGCCTAAACCGAAGCCAAGCCTAAGCCCAAGTCAGGGCCAAGTCAAACTCTGACCAAGCAAAGCCTAAGCCAAAGCTAAGTTTACGCCGAACTTGATCCCAAGCCTAAACTTAAGCTTAAGCTTAACTCAAGCCCAAGAAAAAGCCCAAGCTAAGCCTAACAATTAAGGCTAGGTTAAGTCAACGCTGAACTTTATCCCAAGGCTAAGCTGAGCCTAAACCTAAGCCAAGCCTAAGCCTGAACCAAGCCAAGCCAAGCCAAATCAAGCCAACCCTCAAGCCAAACCTAAAGAGTTTGTAGAGTCCGTATTTTCAGGTTACAACAAATCCAAGCGGCCGGTCATGCGGCCCATCTCGGCAACCCGGAACAATTCCAAAGCGTCCTCGCCAATTTCTTGGACCTCATCCGCTCCTACCACGCAATTCCAATGTAAAGACACGCCCGATACTGTGTGATTTTCCCCTTAAAAACAGATTCTATTCCCTCGGATCTCTTAGAATATTTAGTCACTCCCCCTTCCCTTCTTATTTCCATCCATAGCTGCCTTTCTTGAAATGCCATCATCGGGTACACACTGACCACACCTTCTTTCACTTTAACAGTTCAACGAATTGATCGAAATGTTGCTAATCTGTTTCTACCGCATTCTCTCTCTCTCTCTCTCTCTCTCTCTCTCTCTCTCTTTCTCTCTCTCGCTCTCTCCCTCTCTCTCCATCGCGCTCGCTTTCTCTCGCCCTCTCTCTCTCGCTGTCTCTCTCGCTCCAACGCATTCTCTCCCCCAAAGCCATCTGATGAGATTCTGGGTCTTACATTAAAAATCGTCTTATTTCTGTGGATACTTTACACAACACCGAGTGCCAACCTATTGAACGACAAAGACTTGTATAAATTTTTGAATTATTTTTAACACTGTCCACGGTACCGCAGGGGGAGCACGATGAAGCTGAAGGATTAAAAGGCCGTTTGTCAGAGAGTCGAACAAGGCTTCTCACAGTTTTTTTCGACGCCGGTTTTTCGATGTCATCAGAAAGAGCATGGTCGAATTAGTGGGACTGCATAGTTTTGAAAGTTTAAAAAGTTCTTTTTGCGGTTTAAATGGCCGTTAAAGTTGACTACCTCGAAAAACCATCTCGAAAACTACTTTACCAAATTCGCTACAAATTTGTGACAATACCTAATTTGGGGCGGGGATTATTTTTCTAATGCATTTCACAGCATGAAAATGGCCGGCACATCGGAATCTCGCGTACTTTAATAAGCTTTTCAAGAATTTCTATTTAATAGAATATTGTCGCCACTCTGGCAATACACTTAAAAGATGCGCAATTAAATTCTACATCAAATCCTGGGTTTTTAGCTTGGCGACAGATTCCTAAAAATACTTGTAATTTTTGATATTTTGTGCAAATCATGTATTTGTGAGCTGCTAAATTGCTTTATAAACGTCAAAAATATCCAGTCATTTCAGGTACATTTTTAGCACTTTAAATTTTTTCCTTACATCAATAGGGCGGGAATTTCTGGCAAAACCCAACATCCCCTCTCAACCTACTCAAATGTTTGGAAATTTTGGATCTAGCCGACAAATTTCATAGGACCTCCCCCTTTCGCAAGTTGCTCCATCTGGGGGAGCGATCGAGGTTAGGAGAAGCCGCCTGCTTCATCCTCAATTTTTGATAGATTCCGGACACGCGACCCTCCGTCACGCCGTCGCCCCGACAACTCCATCCACATCAGAATTCCCTCGTACCCCCGAAACCAACTTTCACCCATCTACACCGTGAATTCGGGAATTTTCGTGGCCGGGCTTCTTTGAGAATTTCGACATCAGGCGGCAACGACTCAACGCTTTGAGTTTGACAACGGAAAATGGTAGGTAAAAATGGTTTTTTCTAGATACTGAACTGTTAGCGGGGGTCCTTAATCGGCGAAAACTAATTTCTATCAAAAGTTTTGAAAGTTTTGAGAAAATCTATGAAAAATTACCAAAAAAATATCAAAATTTGTTATTTTTAAAAAAGTGCAAATATTTTTGTAGCGTTCTAGTAAACAAAAAGCAAACATTTTGATATACTTTACACACCTGTAGATGAACAAGGAAACAAACAAAACAAACAAAAGTTGGAGGCCGGAGTCTTGAGTTCAGCCGCAAAATAAATATGGGTGCTAACGCCTGCTAACGGTTCAGTACCCCCTTACTACGGCAACGCGACGGTCACATTTTAGATTGGCTGGGTGCACATCACCGTCTCCACCCTTATTATCCGCAAATATGGGCTGGAAGTGTGGAAGGAAATTAAGTAAGTAACGGCTATCGTACTTTTTCCTTTTTTTTTGCTCTGATACTTTTTATTTTACGCACTCGTACCTTCTCACAAGTAGAAGTTTCTTTGCTACCAATATTTGATGTTTCCGCATTTTTTACCATTTTGAAATGAAAATCCTTTAGAAACTAATCTTTCAAATGATAAAAAATATGAAATTTAGACAAAAAGTGCCGATTTTCGATGAAAATTGGAAAAAACGATGTTCGCTAATTTTTCTAAGTAATTTTTGCATTTGAAATAATTTTCAAGTTTGCGAAAACAATAAAAATCCTGGCTTTTAATAATAGAAATAAAGCACCCCCCTTCCGATAATGCCAAAGAACCAAAACGACTCACTGTTAGTACGTCAGATCGTCCCCCACTTTCAGAAGAAAAGCCGGCTTTTCCGATGAGACAGAATTCGAAGTGCAGCAGTACTACGACGACAGCGACACGTTCAGAATTTTCCGCGCCGCAGCCGCGACACTTGGTGGGTTCTGATAAAAAACATAACGATGTTTTTCTTCTATTCCAGGCGTATCCGTGGACGACATGTGGGAATTGTACGGCGACCATTTGATCACTTATGCCAGCGAGACGGGGTGGAACCGGATGTTGGCGTGTATGGCTGATAATCTACAGGTAGCAGCTGCCGGCAAAATTTTCGACGGCATACAGAGCTTCAAAATTGAAGCTTTGGTGTGGTGGTGTCAAAAATTCTGGCTTAAGTGCAGTTTACCTCCCCCCCAGCCGACCCCACCTACCGTATCTCGGCTCCCTGTTCATCTACAGGTGTGTAAAGTATATCAAAATACTCGCCAGAGCAAGACAAACCTTTTGGTGTATTTTACACACCTGTAGATGAACAGGGAACCGAGAAACACAAGTTGGGTGCCGGCTGGGGGGGAGGGGGTAAACTGCACTCTAACCAAAAATCTATACAAACACCGAAATTCAGGACTTTCTGGACAACTTGAACTCGATGCACTACTTCATCGACCAGATCGCGTTCAAGTCGGAGATGAAGGGCCCCTCGTTTCAATGTGAAGATCAGGGGGACGGGTTGGTTCTAGTAAGGGGTATTTATGCTCTTACAATTAGAACCCTGCGACTGCACTATTTCTCGAATCGCCAGGGTCTGTATCCGATCGTCAAGGGGTTGGTGCGCAAGACGGCCAAATATCTATTTGATATCGAAGTTTCGGTGGGTGTCGTAGGGTAGCTTTCCTTACAGTTATATCATGTTGTTCAAAGCCTATGATTTTGTAGATCAACGTCCTCGAACGTCAACAGGAGCGTCGAAAAAGCGGCCTCGTGGAGCATGTCATTTTCAGGTAAAATTTTGCAGCCATTTAAGAGATGGGATGACGCAGTTTTTTGGAATCCTTTCTGGTCATGTCATGAGATTTTACACTATTTGTCACACGCACCACAAAGAGTAGGCGCGCGTTGCGTGTCGCTGTAGAGGCGAGTGCCGAGAGGAATCTAGTCAATACTAGGGAAGTCCAAGATCCCCGCAACACGGATCGGCCCAAAATTTGCACATTGATAAAACCGACCATGCGATCATCACCACATTTTCCGAATTTGCTACAGAGCTGAAATAATTGCGATTTTACACTTTTAAACCACGCAAAAAACCCGCCACCCTGCAGATCTACGGTAGTCAACTGGTAAGCGTCTCGCTTCCCACGTGGAAGGTCCGGGTTCGGACCCCATCCCCGCGCCTTTTTTTTGCTTTTTGCTAATTTTGCGCGTATATGTGGCGCAGGTGTCCAGATTGTGATTTGTACACGCATATGAGCCGGTTGCTGCCGTCGTATTACGGAATATCGAAAAGCTTAAGCCTCTGCCTTAGCCTAGCCCCAAGCCTAAGCTTAAGCCTATGCCTAAGCCGCCTAAGCCGACCTAAATCCCAATATCGCATTATTCCAGCGTCGGAGCAGACGAACGGCACAAAGAAGGCGAACGACTGGCCCATCGATTCCGCCGTAACAACCGTAGCCAATTGGAGATGGTTCCAGAAACGGTGATCTACGGCCATAGCCACTCAAATCTACAAATTCCAGAAACTCCTCCGTACACTCAGCACCAAAGATTTCAACGTCATCTTCCCGTTCCACATCTGCTTCAATAAGCAAATGATTGTCGAGCATGTCGGTGCGTCATGTTGCAAATTTTAGCATATGAGGTATTCTATTAATGCGCTGATACCTTTCAGGCCAATTCATCCTCTGCGAGTATGCGTTGGCCGACAAGAAGATGGTGAAGCTAACTGATGTCGTACAACTTGTCCAACCGGCCGATATTCAGGTACTCCGTAAACTTACGGTAATCCTGACCCCCACCCACTTTAGCTGACGTTCAAGAACATTCTGTCGTATTTGAACACGCTGTTCATCTTCCAAATGCGTCACCATGCGAGGAGGAACGAGGTTGCAAGTGCTTGAAGATAAATGTTATAAAATGGGAGTTTTAGCAGGACGCGACGTGCAGTGTGGCTGCTTTTCAGCAGCCCTTATGTTTGAAAGGTGACCTCTCTGATTCTTTCGATGTCTCTTGCTGTCTCTCTCGCTTTATCTCTCTCTCTCTCTCTCTCTCTCTCTTGCCAGAAGTACCTCTATCTCACTCTCTCGCTCTCTCTTTCTCTACCCCTTTCTTGCTCTCTCCATTTCCCGCTCTCTCTCCCTTTTACTCTATCTCTCTCTCTTTCACTCTCGCGCTCTCTCTCTCTCTCTCTTGCTCTCGCTCTCTCTCACTCTCTCTATCTGTCTCTCTCTCGCCAGAAGTGCTGCCCTATTTTACGACTTTCTTTAAGGCCAAATGTACCCACTGGCCGAAGGAAATACAATTCTCTTCCTCTGCTCCCCTCATGTCACCACCGTGCGTGACATCCTCAACCTCAACCTCTGCATCTCGGATATGCCAATGCACGACGCGACCCGAGATCTTGTCATGCTCAACCAAAGTCGCATCTGCCAAATGGAGCTCAAGTCAGCGGCCTAAAGTCTTTTGCCTTACCGGACGTTTAGCAAAAAGCTCGAGGACACGGTGCGACGTCTTCGCGGCATGGCCGAAGAGCTGGAGACGAAGAAGGGGCAGGTAAGTCTGGGTGGCATGGAGTCGACATGGTGCGTTCAAATCATATGAACTTGAATTTAGACGGATCGACTTCTTTTCGAATTTGTGCCCGCGCAGATTGCTGATGCTTTGCGCAATCACAAACCGGTTCAAGCACGTGAGTAATAGTTTTTATGCCAACCCCCGAAAAATGACAAACAGGTGTTGGATTTTTGTCAAAGCCTAAATCTAAGTTTAAGCTTATCCTAAACTTAAGCCTGAGCTTTGACGCAAGCTAAGCCTATCGCTGCCGTACCTACCCCTAACCTCACGCTAGCTCAACCTATGCCTAAGCCCAAGCCTAAGTTTGAGCGCAAGCGCAAGCTAAACCTAAGAAAATTCCGAGCCGAGCCTACTCTTTCGTCTAATCCTAGGCCTCAATCAAAGCCTAGACCTAAAAGTGAGCCCAAGCTAAAGCCTGAATCTAAGCCTAAGCTAAGCCTAAGCCTAAGCCTCACGCTTAGGCCTAAGCTAGCCAAAGCCTCAGCCTAAGCTCCCAACGCCTCAATACAACCTGATTCAGAAGAATTCGGTGAATGCGCCGTCCTATCGGCCGATATGCCCGATTTTCCGACAATCAACGTGCACTGTAAGCCGGCGCAAATGATCGAGCTGATCACCGACCTTTTCCATCGATTCGATCGGCTGATCGACTTACACAAGGTGAATTTTTATACCCGAAATCACGGATTCTCTACCCCATTTTCAGTGCTACAAAGTGTTGTCGTTGATGGATTCCTATTTGGTGGTGTGTGGGGTACCGGCCCCGTGTGAGCGATATTGTGAAAAGGTTGGGCATGGTTTTTGCGATGCGACGCCCTGCCTAGATCCTCAACCTAGCGCTGGGCATGATTCTGGAGGCTCGACTCGTCATCGTGCCCGAGCTTAACCTGTCGGTCCGGGTAATGTGCATATAGCTGCCTCAAAGTGTCTCTCACCTTACAGCTCCGCATCGGCGTCCACGTGGGGCCAGTTGTCACCGGGATTGTTAGCCAGAAAAAGCCGAGGTATGCTTGCGACTAAACCCCATTGTAATGCAAGCTTAGATACTGCGTTCTTGGCGAAACCGTCGCCATCACCAAGGCCATTTGCGAGCACAACGACGCCGGAAAGATTTTGGTCAGCAACGCCGCCAGGACGTAGGCCGACCTTTCGTGCTCTCGATAACTTTGCGAACCATTTAGCATGGTGACCAAGGGCACCAAACAGCAACCATCAGCCGTCTTTGTTTTCGCTTCGAAGGTATCTAACGTCAAAAAAAGAGCATCTTCCACCGAAACGCAGAAAAATCAATAGTACCCAATTTCCAGGGTTACGTTGACATTGGGACGATGAAGATGCTCACCCACTACCTAGAGCGCAACGAAAAAATGAGCGCCTGGGAAATTACGGATCGGCCGAAGGGTGAGGGGGAGAGAGACGTGGGTACGGTAACCGAGGCGCATCATTTAGGAGAGGAGCAGACGATCGATGGATATCGCGAATTGCATACCGATGAGGGGGCCAGAGAATGGGAGGAGGCCAGGGAACATGCGCAGCGGGCCATTCGGGTAAGTCGGATTGAGTCAGGCTTAGGCTTAGCGTAGGCTTAGCTTAGGCTTGGCTTAGGCTTAGCTTAGGCTTAGCTTAGGCTTAGCTTAGGCTTAGCTTAGGCTTAGCTTAGGCTTAGCTTGGGCTTAGCTTAGGCTTGGCTTAGGCTTGGCTTAGGCTTAGTCGAGGCTTGTTTTCGGCTTAGCTTAGGCGTAGCTTGGGCTTAGCTTGAGCTTAGAGCTTAGCTTACGCCGAGGCTTAGGCTTGATAACGATCTGGATCAACGCCATCCATATTCATAGGTTCTGGATGCGATGAAGCCCCTCCCATCTGAACAGGGCACCGGCACCCTCCAGAAATTGAAGGCCATCAAAAAACGGTGGGGTTTCTTCTACCTTTTTAAGACGAGTCATTCAGGCTTGGCACCGGCCGAAGTTCCGATAGTGGGGTTGGCGAGGATGGATCACCGCGCACCGAGAGTGTCGCCTGCTCATTGATGTGAAAATAAAGATTTTTATGTGTGCGTGAAGATGTGTTCTATTAACAAGATGGAGAAAGAAAAACCTGCTATGAGACATTTTAAAGAAGCCGTCCACGTTTTAAACAGTTGTGTGGGTCATTTTAAACAGCCACACAAACTTAGGGTGTAGAGCATTGCGGAATTTGGACTGTGTCGGAAGCTGGAAAGATCAGACAAAATTCATGAGATCCAGAAATTCTGTATTCTGATTTGCTCTACAGGGTGTCCCAAAAAAATAGACCTCCCCTATAGCGTTCCGGAGAAAAGTCGGATCGAGATGATTTTTACACCATTCGAAAGCTCTCGGAAAAGCGCAAAACAAGCGCTTTTCGTTTTACAAAATTTTCTAGCCCGTGCTCGATACTCAACGTTTTCTTAAAAAAGAGTCAAAATCGGCATCATCCACTTTGCTTTAGCAACTAATTAACATGATGATTTTGCATAAAATCTGCAGTTTTCATGGATTTTCGCCCTAAATTTCGTGGCTTCAAATGACGTTATTGAAAACGAAAGTGCTTGTTTTCTCGCCTTTTTTCGAGCTTACGATAGATACCAAAATCGTCACAATCGGATATGACTGCGGCCTGCTATAGGGGGTCGATTTTTTTGGGACATCCTGTATTTCTAATGGGACCGAGACGCCTGGTCCAATACATTTTTGCAGCTTTCACAAGAAACCTATCGTCAATTTGGCGCATTGCGTCTCGCAATCCCATAAACTTTCACATTTTCACTTCCATAGGTCCCCCGATTCCATGTGTGTCTAGCGAACCCTAAGCACCGGCTAGGATGAGATCTGCTTGGGCGGTGAGGATGAGTATAGAGGAAGGGCCAGAGGGCTGTCTCGACCAGGCTCGCTGGTAGCCGAAAAATGGGGGAATGTGTCGGCGGAGATAAGCGATAAGGGTCACCGGGCCAAGGCCATTCTATCCATCCATCCATCCCATACCATCCCCCCATCCACCACCCACTAGCCCCTTCCCTTCCTTCCCCCCCTTCTTCTTCACCTTCATCCGATCCGGGTCGCCACCAAATCTCGAGACTGCTCACTACGGTATAATACAGCATTGAGATCTGGCCTTGGCGAACCCTAGCTGTGGCCATTCACTTTTTGAGCTTTCACTTGGGCTTTTATCTCTAGGTTACTGTAGTCAGATTTAGCATTTAGCATAGAGACTTGTACTACACTGTTAACGGGGGGGGGCTTTTAACAGCGAAATTTTTTCCGGTTTATGTAACGTACTTTTATAGTCATTTCATCGTTTTTGATTGCTAAAAATGTATAAAAAATTTAAAAAATTGGTAATTTCCAGAATTGTGAAACTTTTGTCATTTTTCATGTATTTATAAATAATATTTATTCTCAACACAAGGTTCACAAAGTTCACGTAGTCAAGTATTTTTCACCAAGAAGGTCAAATATTTACAAAAATCGCATACTATATTAACTATATGTAAACTTCTGCATACAAAACTAAGAACTTATTTATATGGCCTATTTGGAAAAATTTGATTTCCCCCTGCTTAAAAGTCCTCCCCGCTAACAGTTCAGTACCAAGATGCAACTGGTTTTTCGGCTAGAAAACGGCTTCTTTGGGTCTGATATTACACGTAATTTTCTGTCGGTTGCCGCCGATGAGGCACGTTAGCATAGTTTTTTTTTGGAGAAATCTGTGAAAACCTGTGGAGGAACTTCGGGTTGGCCAGCCGTGATATTGGCGAGAAACAAAGAAGAACCCAAAAATTCCTCATTTCCAAAACGTGTATATCTAATACCAAATGCCATCCTCGAATCTTGATTCTCGAATATCTGGTGTCACCTCCCGAATGACTCATCCAAGATACCGTAACCGGATATGCCCGAAAATGACGCTATTTCGCGATCCCCCTCCTGCCCCTGTGGCGTTATCCATGCATATCGTGGTGCCTCGATTTTCAGGGTGGTGCCTTTTAGGAAAAGCACCAGGATTCTCTGGAAGAAGGAGACCGGTTCGTCGCGTTGTGGTCATGTTCCCCCCTCCCCCCTTCCCCCTACAAAAACCCATTGAGAGGGGGTGGATAGACGGGATCCCGCCCCGATCCTCTTAACGGGTCACCTTCAACGGTGCCGTCGAGACACATTTTTGCTTCTATCTTTCGCTTTTGAAGGGATCGGCAAGGCATCGCCATGGATTTGATTGTCTAGGAATTTTTTTTTCTGAATCGTGGCACCTTTTCCGTGCTGACGCAATTGAACGTTTTTGAAGCGCTGCGTATCCCGGGCGTAGAAAATTCCTCATGGAACCCATAGCTAATAAAATCCATAAATTTTGCCTTCCTAATCCCTTAAAGACGCGGCATTGGATAAGCCATGTTTTTGGCGCGAATATCGGAATTTTAATTTGAAATTTTAGGCCTGAAAAAACTTTAAAAACGGCTAATATACGTACGTACGTTCACACGTTAAAGCGCACGTTCAGGGAGGGGCCGTATACTCTGTCCAACGTATACACCCTATGGACGTAGGGACCGCGCGCACGGCCTGCCCGTGCTGTGACAGGCCTTCCCTTCCTTTGCGGGGTGGGGCGCCCCTCGCCCCCTCGCCAACATGTAGCTGTGGCTGACTGGTATCCATCCGCGCCTCCCGAGCTGGGGGCCCGGGTTCGACCCCCGGCCGCGGCAAAAATCTTTGCTTTTTTCCAAAAAAACGTCCCTGAACGTGCCCTTTAACTATCTGGATTTCAGGAATTTACAGAACCTGGCTCTTTTCCAGGAATTTTCAAGTTCAGAATTTTCTATAAAATTATATTTCGCTTTTTTTTTGTTCGTCCTGATATGCTTTTTGAATCTACACCGAAGGTTATAATTTTCGGATTTCCAGGGACTTGCGATGATCGTGGGCCTGGCGTTGCTGGGGCTCGTCCCTTTAATAGGGGCCGTCTTCGAGTGCGGAAGCCAGGAGACCACCGCTTTCGTGCGCACATCCAGGGCACGGCTTGACGGGACGCCGCTCGTCGTCTCTACTGCCGGTAGGTGGAGGAGTGTCTTGCGGTCCAGGCCAAGCTAAGCTTACCGTATCCAGAATTTTGCGCTGATTCCGAATTTGCTGTCAAAAATTTGCAGAGTGTCGATTTTTCTCCGGTTCTGAACGGTTTAATTGAGGAAAACCATAGAAATTCACTCATTTTTCATATTTCTCGGTCCTTTGTCGTCTATAACCTTTGGGAAAATCGCGATGCCGCAAATTTAGTAAACGTAGTCGGAAACAGCGCAAAATTCTGCATAAGATCTGCTTGGTTCGAACTTGAAATCCCCAACGACCCTAAGAAACGTTCCCTTGTTAGCATCCGAGACTACACTACTTCACCCCCCAAGCGGGAAGTTTTTGGCTATAACTTTTTTATTTTACATTATTGTAGGCTCAAATTACAAGGCTAGAATATTTTTCGACGCTCTATCAAATGGCTTTGCATAAATCCCGACAAAATAAGCGAAAATACCAAAAACTTTGAGACCCTTCGACTGTAGGGGGGGGTTAGCTAAAGTCTGGCCGCATCCGAGGAGGGAATATTAGGACTTTTTGAAAGAGACCTAACCAGTTCGATTAAAAATTACTTAGATTTGAACCAAGAAATCCCCGGAACCTTCGAAACTAAGCCTTATGAAAGAATTTTCGACAGTTCTACCGTAACCCGGCCGACTTTCCCTCCGACCGCAAGTGCATCCCAATTTCACCCACCACCCAAAAATCGACCCAATTCCCGGCGAGAAAAAGAGCTGATTTTCCGGAGGGTTGATTGCAACGTGATACACTCAGTGATTCCGGGAGGGGCGAAACGGGTCAACGCGCATTTCGGTCTCCTTTTCGACGGGAAAAAGGAAAGAACTTTCGCTTTAGAGGGAATGTCTCCCCCTCCCCTCTGACAAAGCGTTGACCCACTTACCCAAAGCGGGGAAAGGCTGGGAAGCGTTTCTCCCCCCGCTTTGACTAGCCAAAAGCCAACAGTCAAACCGATGTAGGGATCGTTTTAGATCGAGGAACGATCGTCAGAGTTAAAAGATTATTAAGAAAGTGTGACTGGTGTTTTAGCGAAGTCAAGAATCTGGCGTTTCATTGGCAAAAAATTATAATTTTCGATCAGTATGTCGACATTAATTATGTCGAAAAATCATTCTGTCGAAACATTAGTTTCTCGAAATTCGTTGAAAACGTCGAAATTGTTGAAATTTCAATTTTCCATTTTTGAGATGAACAACCGAGGCAAAAACCATTGAAATTTGGACAAGATCGAAATTCCTGCAAAATGACATTTAGACAGCATGAATTTTGACGAAATTATTTTCGAGAAAAATGCTTTTCGAAAAGACGATTTTGCTGAAATGAAAATAGTCCAAGAATCGTAGCTGTGCCAAATTGAGAGCAAGATAAAATAAGCCGAAACGAAGACGCTGACAAATTGAATTCCGGTTGTAATTTTGCAAAATTGGCCGGTGGAACGGGGTGCCAGTCGAAGAATTTTTATATTCTCGAACTAATTGTTGAAAGACAAAACAAAACTTATACTTAAAATAATTTTACCAAGATGCTTATATATTTACCGGATTCTTTACATCTACGGAATACAACCTAAACCTCACCTCTTCCAGGCCACGACTTGACCTGTGCCCAGTACTGCCGCAACAACATCGAGCCCACCACCGGAGCCCAGCGCGTCTGCGCCTCGTTCAACTTTGATGGACGGTAAAAAATATATTTTTTTCCGAATTCCCGAATTCTTCAGTGAGACCTGCTACTTCTTCGATGATGCCGCCGCCCCGGCCGGCACTGGACAGTTGACGGCCAACCCATCAGCCAACAACTTCTACTATGAGGTTGGGAGCGTGATTTTTGACCAGAATTTTTGAAAATGACTAGAAAATCGTTGTGGTTTCAGAAGACTTGTCTGCCCGCCGTCACTGCCCACGAGGCGTGCACCTACCGGTCGTTCTCGTTCGAGCGTATGCGCAAGACCATTCTCGAGGGATTCGTCAAGAAGACCGTTCAGGTAAGCTATTGAAAGCTATTGGGAGGTCAAAGCCAAGACTTACGTCGAAGTCTAAGCCACGCCTAAGCATTAGCCTATACCTGTGCTCACACGCGCCCTATTTGCAATTTCCAGGTTTCCGGCCGCGAGCAATGCCTCTCCACCTGCCTCAAGGAGAAGGAGTTCGTCTGCCGCTCCGTCAACTACAACCACGACACGTACATGTGCGAGCTGAATGCTGAGGACAGAAGAAGCAAGCCGACCGCCCTCTCCATGACCGACATCAACGTCGATTACTACGACAACAACTGTCTGTCCCGTCAGAACCGGTAAGTCTGATGCTGATCATCTCTCTATTTTCCATCCTAGTTGCGGCCAACAAGGTGGAAACCTCGTCTTCGTGAAGACCACCAACTTCGAGATCCACTTCTACGACCACACCCAATCCGTTGAGGCCCAGGAGAGCTATTGTCTTCAGAAGTGCCTCGACTCGCTCAACACTTTCTGCCGGTTCGTGTCTCAACTCTCAATTTTTATCGTTTCTTTCCAGCTCGGTCGAGTTCTCGCCCAATGAGAAGAACTGCATCGTCTCCGATGAAGACACCTTCTCCCGTGCCGATCAACAGGGACAGGTCCAGGCCAAGGACTACTACGAGCCGATCTGCGTTGCCGGTAATTTGATAGCTAGTCGGTGCGATAGAATTCCATCCTTTTAGCCGATCTTTCCTCATCCACCTGCCGTCAGCAGGCCGCCTTCGAGCGCTTCATCGGTTCATCGATCGAGGGCGAGGTTGTCGCGTCAGCTCAGGGCGTCACTGTCTCTGACTGCATCTCGTTGTGCTTCCAGAACCTCAACTGCAAGTCGATCAACTATGACAGGTTGGTGAGGAGCTTGAGGTGTAGGTTTGTGTCTTGCTAGCTGATCCATTTCATCAAAAAAAATCGCCCTTTCAGGACAGCCTCCTCGTGCTTCATCTATGCCGTTGGCCGCGCCGACGCCAACATCAAGGCGAACCCGTCGATGGACTATTACGAGTTCAACTGTGAGAGCCAATTCGGTGGCATGGCACTGTGCACCAATGACGGTATCCGCTTCATTGTCAACACCAAGGAACCCTACACCGGAGCCATCTATGCCGCCGAGCGCTTCTCCACTTGCAGCCAGGTATGTGCTATCAAATTGACATAGGCGGGCTGTAAGAAATTCCCCAGAATTAACTTCACAGAATTTATTCTAGGTCGTCGAAAACGCGAAGCAAATCTCGATCACGTTCCCTCCCCCGACCGTCTCCTCTGACTGCGGAACGGTGATCCGTGACGGCAAAATGGAGGCGCTGGTCGTTGTCTCGCTCGATGGTGTCCTTCCCCATCAGGTCACTACCGAATGGGATCGATTCTACCGCGTGTCGTGCGACGTCTCGATGGACAAGATGACCAAGGAGGGCTCCGTTGTCGTCACCACCATCTATGAGGCCAAGTACGTCAGAAATGGCTGTTTTTTATATTCAATCGGCCGGCTCTAATATCCTAACTAAATTGGTCAATTTAACTTTATTACGCTTTTTCAGCAACCAGAAGACGCAAGTGCTGGACACCGCCACCCCACCCCCGGTCACCGCCAGGCTCACCTTCTTCAACCAACTTGACGAGCCCCTCGAGAAGGTAGCGCACTAATGGTTGGTCTGAATTAAACCCTTTTCAGGCTTCGATTGGAGACCCGCTGCTGATGGTCATCTCCTCGGATCAAGCCGGCCCGCACAACATGATGGTCACCGAGTGCACGGCCACCAGAATCGGCGGACGCGGCGAATCTGTGCCCTTCACGCTCATCGAGAATGGGTAAGGCACCGGCTCTCTCTCTCTCTCGCTCTCTCCCTCTCTATCTCGTTCTCTCTCTCGCTCTCTCTTTCTCTCTCTCTCTCTCTCTTTCTCTCACGCTCTCTCTCAATATCTTGATTCCAGATGCCCCCGTTACCCAGCCCTCGTCGGTCCCGTCGAGCAAGACTTCGACAAGAACAGGCTTAAGGTAAGCTAAATATTTTCCATGCTCATGCTCTCTTTTCTGACGCTCCTATCAAAAACCATACAAAAATACTTTGCTTTTAGTCTGAAGTCCGCGCCTTCCGCCTCGACGGCTCGTACGATGTGCAGGTGATGTGCACCGTCATGTTCTGCGCTGGCCCCAATGGATGCCCCGTGGTAAGCGACAAACAAAAAATTCATATAAACTTTCGAATTTTTTGTTTCCTTAAAAATCTTGTTTTCCAGTCGAACTGCTTGGACTCGGGCACCAACGAGCTGTTCACGTCGCACGGCAGGAAGAAGAGGTCCGCCCTGGCCGAGACTTCCGATGAGCACACCGCTGAGACGCTTTCCGGTAAGTTTAAGTGTATCAAACCACCACCATGCCCCTATCTTCAGCCATCATCCGCGTGCTGGCCAAGGGCGAGGAGGAGGACAACATGGGAATTAATGGAAACGCTTCTGATATCCACCGGTACGTGCTTTAACTAGCTATTGCGGAACTTTCCGTTTTTCTAGAAGCCGTAAAACCCTCCAAAAACTCCAAAAACCCGCCCTTCTTTCAGACCATGGCCCGCGGACACGGTGTGCGTCTCCGAGACGGGATTCGTCTGCGCCGTCGTGTCGGCATCTGTTGTCTGCCTTCTCCTCTCTGCCCTCATCGTCGTCTATGGCTGCCACGCCCTCCACCGCGACGAGAAGCTCCCATCCACCCGAAATGACGTCTATTAATGCGGCATTCGCTCCCAAAATCATCGATCGCCTCTTTCCCCCCAACAACGGGTCCCCCATCCCTCAAATAATCAATAATATGCATTATTCCGATTTGCTTGTCTCGCTACGCTATTTGGTGCTTCGCGGTTAATTGCCGTCCCGAAAATCTCTCTGTTCCGCCCCCATCGCGCCACATTCCAACCAATAGAATTCCGAAGAATCTGATCCTAGCCTAATAATCTATTTTCTTCTATCCGTCTTAGTTATTTTCTGTGTGCAATAAATGTTACCCTAATATCCCGAGTATAGTTCCGGTACACTTTGACGACGTACCAATACAAATGACGTTCTAATAACGTGCGTCCCCGGCCTCTTGCCGCAAAAGCTATGCAAGCCAAAAGAAGCGGTTCTTAGGATTATCTGCATCAATTGCTTTCTTTAAACCACTCAAAATGCTGGAATTATTCCACATGTGAGCAAATCTTCAATCAAAATGGCAAAAATACCTTTAATGAACGGAGTTATAAGGCCGTCCGCCAGTCACTCGAACTGTTCCCATTATGGCTTGGCACAGTTTTTTTCGACCCTATTTTTATGATGCCATCTGAAAGAGCGTGTCCGAATTAGTAGGGTGGCATTGTTTTGAAAGTTTAAAAAGTTTATTTTTGGGGTTTAAATGGCCGTTAAAGTTGTCGACATCGAAAACCTATCTCGAAAGTTACTGGACCAAACTTGCTGAAAATTTGTGACAATACCTAATTTGGGATGGAGATCATTTCTCTAATACATTTCAAAACTTGAAAATGGCCGGAACATAGGAATCCCGCGTACTAAAAACGGTTTTTTAAGATTTTCTATTTAATGGGAAATCGGCGGCATCCTGAAAGTAACATAGAAAGATGCGCCAATTTTTTCTACGTTGAATGATGTGTCTTTTAGGATACCGCCGTTTTCCCATCATCCGTAAAAACCGCATTTTCTTGATGAAAAAAAGAAAAATATCCAGGTTTTCAAACGGGGAGTCACCCACTTGCTTCTAGAAGCGCAGCCAAGTCAATTGCAAAAAAGAGCAAAAAGAAATTCGGTTTCTCAAAGGGGGCTGGGATTGAACTCGGGTCGTTCGCCTGGGAGGCGGCGGCGCCCTCTAGCCTCTGTCCCCAGAGCCCCCCAGGCGGACCATCGCGGGTTCGATTCCCCTCCGTACTCAACTTCGCGTAAATGAGGAATTTCATTTTGCTCTTTTTTGATAATGGGTGGCATTGATCTCCAGATGCTTTCCGCAATCCGTTATATTTCTCATTCTCAGCCCCCGATCTTCTAAGGCCACTTTTGTTCATTCCAGAGGTCACGACTTTTCTAGATGATGGGAAAACGGCGGCATCCTAAAAGACACATCATTCAACGTAGAAAAAATTGGCGCATCTTTCTATGTTACTTTCAAGATGCCGCCGATTTCCCATTAAATAGAAAATCTTAAAAAACCGTTTTTGGTACGCGAGATTCCTATGTTCCGGCCATTTTCAAGTTTTGAAATGTATTAGAGAAATGATCTCCACCCCAAACTAGGTATTGACACAAATTTTCAGCAAGTTTGGTCTAGTAACTTTCGAGATAGGTTTTCGATGTCGGCAACTTTAACGGCCCTTTAAACCCCAAAAATTAACTTTTTAAACTTTCAAAACTATATGGCCCTACAAATTCGATCATGCTCTATCCCATGGCGTCAAAAAAACAGGGTCGAAAAAAACTGTGCCAAGCCTATTTCGGTCCTGCCGCAAACGGCCTTTTATGTGCGAGTAACCGAAAAACGAAGCACACCACTTTACGTTCATACGGAATTACAACCGCTACGTACGTTTCACCCGGAACTCTACTCGTGGGGGGACCATACTCGGGATTTTAGGGCAGTAAAAAAGAGGTATGTACATTTTATTAACATTTTAGCACCGTGTCTATATCAAATGCATAGGCTGCTGTTTTGGCCGGAGCTCGATGACTTTTTGAGGGTAAAAAGGGTAGTCGCCGAAGTATGGGCATTTTGTCTAGACCACTAAAGACAAGGTGAAAAATTTGCAAATACAACTAGGCTTACCTATCCACCCAATCGGGTAGTGCAAATCCATCTAGCGGGAATTCGGCTTCTTCCTCTTCACCAGCTAGCCCGCGATCCTTTCGGCTGGCACCTATAGGCTTTTTTTGTAAATTTACCGGCTTTTTAGTTTCCATCAAAAACTGTTTTTAGCATCTTTTTATGGCTGTCCGGTGCTCTTATTGCCATAACCTCAACTCTGCACACCCACCTGGCACCATATTGTCCATCAAAAATGCGAACAACCCGCCGATCAGCATCTGAATCCTGAGCAACATGTTCAACACCTCATCCCAGGTGTCGCTACCTGAAATCTAAGCGTTGCGAAAAAGACTAACACAAACCGGTCCGGATTGGGCTCTTTGTAAAGTGCGAGGGGACGACCAACCCCAGCAACAAGGCCAACCCCATGATGGCCAGATTACGAGTTTGAGAGAGGTTGACTACCTGAAAGCTAGTCTATCAATGTCATCCGATCTGTCTATCTTATCAATGATACTGCCAATGTTGACTAGGATGCTGCCGGATTTTGAAAACCTGCCTTTAAATTTGATAGCGCCACACCAGCTATCATACTCATCCCTAGACACAAAATCGATCCGATCAACGGATCCGGAATGCAGGCAAGTATTGCCGCCAACTAAAGGGAGCTTTTTCAATGATCGAAGCTTAAAGCAACGTTGATTAAAACACCATCAACAACCACAAATGGCTTCGCCGCAATTTTTTAAGGATACAGCCCACTCACCTTCGTAAAAAGCCCCAGCGCCACTGACAACACACCAGCCAATTGGACGGTGACGCGAGATGCCACCTAGAGATTCGAATATCTCGTGAATACCTTGAATACCTTTGTAATATGCAGTAAAGCTATATTTTCTGCATATGTAGTGACGCCAGTAGAGACACCAAGTGAGGCAGCCAGCATACTGCCAAGACCTGAATCCGTTAAGAACGATTTTTATATTTTTCTAGCAGCACAGCTATGAGAACATGCTTGAAATCAACCATCAAATACCCACCCTCAACCATGACGGCTCGATTGACATTGTCAACCGGTGGATTTCCCTGATGGGATACCCTTGCACCCATTTTATACGAGCCGACATTCTCGATAACTGATGACAATACAGAGGCCACAAATCCCAGACACAACGCCGTATTCACGCGGAATCCACCGTACTCGCCTTAACCATTGGAATTCTTCTTTACCACATGGAAGGGTACCTGGATACGGCACTTTCACCCATGGTGCGTTAGCAATCAGCCCATGGGTCTCGTTTCTATAATATGGTATAGAAACACTACTGTGAAAATTCATCCCATACCTTTTCGTGGAAGCCGGTGAATCATCACTGATGATAGCGGCTGAGGAGAGGATATAGCAAATAAACCAGGCGATGCCAAGGGACAGTAAGTACTGCAAAAATCTTGTAGACGTGGCTTTTTTAGTTTTATTAGATTTACTAGATTTTTATTTACCAGATTCATACATACTTGAAAAAAACAGCGAGTTGAAGGAACGAAATTACTTACCGGAAATTGTCCAAACAGTGGCGTCCTGGCGACAGCCATCCTTCGCTTTCCCAAGGAGTAATATGGGATCGGAACCTGGACATGCTCAAGAAAAACGACGAACACAACCAGCAGTACTAGTTCTCTAAACGAAAGTTATTTCCATTGTAAGTTTTCCTACACTATGGCCATATAATGTGAGCTGAGCTTCTCCTCGATTGTTGGAACCGTGGAGATGGCGAGGAGGGTGAGAAGGGGTACTATAATCAGCTATCGAAATGAAACTTCCTAGATCCCTTTTTGACCGTTTGGAACGCACCTATCGTAATCGGGCCGACATGTCTGGCAAACCACCCGACAGCTCCTGTAGCTCCGATAAGGATGAACACACAGCAGGCAATCATTAGACTCCCGGAAAGCTGCAATTTAATCATCAATTCCATTGGAGTCTTTTGTCATCCAAAGATCATTCCCCATCACCGGGCTACACTCATTTTCTGATAACGTGCAGAGCGGCACACTGTAGGTGGTCGGGTGAGGAAAGCCGAATCCGTTGTCTCTTACCGTAGCCAGCCTGCCCTGCCATTCCTCCTCCGGCACATACGAGTCACCGGCTGTGCATTCACCATTTAGCGTCCTAGACAAGAAAATATAATTTTTCAGAAAACATGCGGCTCACTGGTATGCTTGGATTGGTGCCAAAAAAGCTAACGAGGTGCCGTGAAGAATTGCTAGTCTAAAAAACGTTGAGCCGAAGGTAAGAATGAAAGTACCGTAAACCAAAAGTGCTCTGGATAAACGTGGCTATGCCACCAGAGACAAAGGTCGCTGAGATCAAATTGACACTGGAAAATAGCGGCGTTTGCTAAAATAAGCTGAGCCTACCGTAGCCTCGCCGTCGCCTGACCGGCACAAACTGCTTCAGAAACGAGAAATGGAAAGATCAGATACCCGGAAAGAGCCACCATCGATTGCTAAAAGGGAATTTTACAAAATACCGTACCACCGACCTGAAAAGCAAGAAACAGGGCATAGAATGGTTTTGGGACATCGTTGACCCCGAGAAGGAGCTGGCCGCCCGGGGAGAAATCACCCGAATCTTCCGACGTTGACGGTGTCCGCTTCTCCCGCATTTTGAAATAAATATAAAGTTCTCTGAAAACAGTTATCACGAAAATCCGCCAAAAAGAAATTTTACCAAACAAAAACTAGGATAATGAGAGCTGATTCCCTTCCCGATTATCATTTCAATTTTTGCGGATAACCAGCTAGCAGAGTTTTTTTGGGAATAACCATAGAAAAATTATGCGCCTATAAGTATTAACATATTAATATTAATTGGCATTATCAGTATCGAAATCGGGGGGAAAACTCCGGTTCGGTCCGGGTTTATTTGTGTTCCCGGGGTGCGATTATATGGGTTGAGGGGAGAGGAAGAGGTGGAGGACGAGAAGGATTATCGGTTGCCCCGGTTCGACAACCCACGTGAAAATGATCGGGCATGGAAATCGGGTGGCGAAAACGGGAACGAAAGTTAGATCGTCAAACAGAATGAACAGCACATAAAAATGGTGCGACCAGTTTAATGATATCGATCAATGTTCAGAATAGGCTAGAGGTCAAGAGACTAGACTAGAGTATTATTAAAGGGGCAGAGAAGTGGGAAAAATCGAGTGAAAGCGGAAAGCGAACAAAGCGGAGCGCTGTACGTCAACGGCCTCTGTACCCAGAGCGCGGGAAGTCCCTAAAATTTTAAATTTCCCCGTCGTCACCTCCAAAGCACGTTCTCGGCTCTTTCTGCGACAAATTCAATAATTAAAACACCAAAACGAATTAAAATTTAGTGAGGATTTTAGAAATCCGCTCAAAATCTGCGAATTATAGTGTATTCACAAAAAAAATCAAGCAAAACAGTTGCGCGCAAAAAATCGAGAGAGTGAGGACTCTCGTCCCGCAGCGGTCTAGATTTCCAGAAATAAAGAGGCCTTCCAAAAGCGGTTTGCTTTGGCATTTCGTTCCCTATATAAGCTATAACGTTCGGTTTAAGTCAAATGGCCACTACACAACACTGTCGACTTTCAAGATGTTTGTCAGCTACAACGCTCATTTAAGAGCAGAAAACTGACATTGCCGCATCTCTACACCTATAAATACCTCCAAAACCCCGAGATTAGCATTCGTAGAACGCCAAACCCTGACTCAGGCCCGACCCGTCTACTCATGGTCCCATTGCCAAATTCCGTAAATAGGAGCGAGCGGTGGGCCGATCAAAACATTGCCCTCTTTGTATAGCATAATCGCTATCAGTAATGCTCGACTCTAAAATTGAGTCATAGCTCCCGAAAAGCCGAAAAGCTGCCCTAGGGCTGGTGGGTGGAACGGCCCGAAAGATATTCGTTGCACTACAGACCCGATCTCTGCGCCCATTTTTGAGTGGCTGATAAGCCGATTACATGGCCATCGCGGCCAGTTTCCGCCCGCAAGTAGGAAGTGGTTTTTTTGGGGAAATATTTTGCTTGTCGCGCTGTCAAGGGCTATTTGGTGCTTCGCGGTTAATGGCCGTCTGGGAAATGTCATGTTCCCTGATTCCCCGACATTCCAACCAACAGAATCCCGACGAAACTGATTCTATCTTAACAATACAGGGAGTCCCAAAACCCCTCACCCTCCCCCTCTCGGCTTGCCGGTCTTCCATCCGATCGGGACCAAATTTTTATCAGCGATGGGGAATTATAAAACATATGTGCAGCCGAATTTTCGAAAGAAAATATTGTCAAATGAAAAAGTTATCGCTAAAAAACTGATTTTCGGACAACGCCGGTACACTGATCTTTGGCTATGTTTTCGCAACTAACATGCCGATCTTGAGTAATTTTCCCAAAAATGGTCATTTTGGGCTCGGTTTCTGTAAACTTTGATATTGAAAAATATTTAAAAATTTAGAAGTAATTTTCGTAAATGAAAAAATTTTTCCGGGTAGTAAAAAGTTAAGTAAGTAAAGTAGTTCGTTTTTGCTAAACATTTCGAGGTCCAAATCCATCAAAATCCCAGTGAAAGCAAAACAAACCTTATTATCCCTATAACTTTTAGGTTTTACAAAATTTTCCTTAGAGAACTCGGCTTGCACATAGTTTTTATGGGTCCCCATCTCTTGTAAAAATTTGGTCCCGATCGGATGGACGGCCAAATGCCGAGGAGGGGTTTTTTTGGGACACTCTGTATATTGGTCTCTGGCTTTTAGCTATGTTTTCTGCGTGCAATAAATGTTATTAAAAAGCTATGTACATTTTATTAGCATTTTAGCACCGTATCCATATCAAAAGAATATGCAGCTTCTTTGGCCGTGCCTCGATGACTTTTTGAAGGCAAGAAGGGTAGTCGTCGGAGGATAGGAAGTTTATCTAGGCCCCTGAAGACAGGTTTGCTATTTCATGGATGAATTACCTATCCACCCAATCGGGTAGTGCAAATCCATCAAGGGGGAATTCGGCTCCTTCCTGATCGTCATCATCGGCTAGCCCACGATCTTTCCGGCTAGCACCTTTAAACGGCTTGGCTGGGTTCGGGCATAAATTTTTTCAGTGAAAGCCTCATGAGGCACAGGGAGAGACAGAGAGAAGAGAGAGAGAGCGAGAGAGAGAGAGGCGAGAGAGAGAGATAGAGAGAGAGGGAGAGAGGGTGCGAGAGAGAGAGAGAGAGAGAGAGAGAGAGAGAGAGAGAAAATAAGAGCAAGAGATATCATACCAACCTGGCACCATGATGTCCATCAAGAAGGCGAATAGTCCACCGATCAGCATCTGGATTGTCAGCAACATGTTCAGCACCTCATCCCAGGTATCGTTGCCTACAAAACCGAACGAACCGTCAGAAATTTGGCCTATACGATCAAGAATCTCAAACAGGCTATGTGCAACAAACCAGTCTTGATTGGGCTCTTGGTGAAGTGAGAGGGGATGACCAGCCCGAGCAACAAGGCTAACCCCATAATGGCCAGATTACGAGTTTGAGAGAGGTTGACTACCTGAAATTCTGCACGTAGAAAGAACACGCGGTTTCGCATATTAAAGAAATTATTAAACGGCGCAAACTCATTTAAAGAACTTACCTTTAGATTTGACAGGGCTACCCCAGCTATCATACTCATGCCTAGACACAAAATCGATCCGATCAACGGATCCGGAATACAGGCAAGTATCGCCGCCGACTAAAAAAAGTACGAGAAGTCTATAATAATGCTCTCAATTACCTTCGTGAAAAGCCCCAGCGCCACTGACAACACACCAGCCAATTGGACTGTGACGCGAGATGCCACCTAGAGATTCGAATCGATTAAGAGTACCTTGAATACCTTTGTAATATGGAGGAGAGCTATATTTTCAGAGTATGTAGTGACTCCAGTGGAGACACCTAGTGAAGCAGCCAACATACTGCCAAGCCCTAAAATGGCCCAAATGGGTTTCTACTTAACGATACCCTCAACCATGACGGCTCGATTGACATTGTCGACTGGCGGATTTCCTTGATGAGATACCCTAGCACCCATTTTATACGCTCCAACATTCTCGATGACTGATGACAAGACCGCGGCCACAAATCCCAGGCACACTGCTGTGTTCACGCGGAATCCACCGTACTCTCCTTAAAAAATTAGGTTCGAAGGTCAGCCATGCTTTCCGTTCCGCTACTCTGCCCAACCTGATACCTGGGTACGGCACCTTAACCCATGGCGCGTTGGCAATCAGTCCCTGGGTTTCGTTCCTGCAAAATACAATCGAAAATATAGATAACATTCCCAAAACAATTGTTTTTACCTTTTCGTCGAAGCCGGCGAGTCATCACTGATGACAGCGGCTGAAGAGAGGATATAGCAAATCAGCCAGGCGATTCCAAGAGATATCAAGTACTGTAAGGGACAGAAAATTCATAGCTACGACCTGGCTCTGATCCGGGGAAACATATGGACCTAGGAAGCCTTACTGGAAATTGTCCGAATACAGGTGCTCTGGCTATCGCTATCTTTCGCTTCTCCCAGGAAAAATACGGGATCGGGACCTGGAAGTCTTCGAGGAACACGACAAAGATGATCAACAAGACCAGCTCGCTAAAAATTCGGTAGATTCATTTTCATGCCCCTACACTATGGCCATATAATGTGAGCTGAGTTTTTGCTCGATTGTCGGTACTGTAGAGATGGCAATGAGGGTGAGGAGGGGTACTGTAATAGATTGCTAAATTTAAATTCAGCTTAGACATATGCCTTGATTCCATCACCCACGTTTCTACAAACCTATCGTAATCGGTCCGACATGCCTGGCAAACCATCCGACAGCTCCTGTGGCTCCGATAAGGACGAACACACAGCAGGCGGTCATTAGACTCCCGGAAAGCTGCAATTTATGCATCAACCAGCGCTGACCCCCCGCTACGCGGGGGTTCAGCGCTGGCCTTCTGCCGCCACAATTTGAATTTGGGATTTGAATGCAAAATTTGGCTGAATTCCCGGTCGGGCGGTCGGACGGGCGCACGGACATTAGAAATTTATACAGGGTGTCCCAAAAAAAATCGACCCCCCTCTAGCGGGCCGCAGTCATGTCCGATTTTGACGATTTAGGTATCTATCGAAAGCACTCGAAAAGGCGAGAAAACAAGCACTTTTCGTTTTTCAATATGGGAATTTTAATTCATTAAATTTAGGGCCAAATCGATGAAAACTGCAGATTTTATGCAAAATCGGCATGTTAATTGCTTGCTAAAGCAAACAAGACGATGCTGGTTTTACGCTTTTTACAGAAATCATTGAATATCGAGCGAAGGCTAAAATTTTTTGGAAAACCAAAGGCGCTTGTTTTCTCACCGTTTGAAGGGCTTTCGAATGGTGTGAAAATCATTCCGATCCGAGCTTTCTGCGGTCCGCTAGAGGGGGGTCGATTTTTTTGGGACACCCTGTATATAGTAGATTCCATTCGAGTCTTTGTCAGCCAAAGATCATTCCCCATCACCGGGCTACACTCATTTCCTGATAACGTACTTCAGCGCGCACACACGTTGTAGCCTATCAGGCCAAGGGAAACCGCCTCCGATTTAGATTTCGATAAATGTTCCTACCGTCGCTAGTTTAACATGCCATTCCTCCTCCGGTACATAGGTATCATCCCCAGCTGTACACTCGCCAAGTGAGACTCTACAAGGTCCAAAAATCAAATCCGGTCATCTCAATCTTACTGATATGTCTGTATTGGCGCAAGGAAAGCCAGTGAAGCGCCGTGCAGGATGGCTAGTCTGAAAAGTTCAATGTTGGCCCTAATTTCCGGGTAATCTACCGCAAACCGAAGGTGCTTTGTATAAAGGTGGCTACGCCGCCCGAGATGAAAGTGGCTGAGATCAGGTCAACACTGGAAAGAAAGTTGCGGTTTATTAACGGTAAATAAACAAAGTGGCAGCCGATAAGACTTTACTTTACCCCCCCCCCCCCTCCCTACAGCCAAAGGGTCTCAAAGTTTTCGGTATTTTCGCTTATTTTGTCGGGATTTTTGCAACGCCATTCGATAGAGCGTCGAAAAATACATTAAGAGTTTTAATTTGAGCCTACAATAATGTAAAACAAAAAGTTATAGCCAAAACATTTCGGCTGGGGGGGGGGGGGGTAAAGTAAAGTGTAGCCTTTAGGACTACACTCCTACCGTAGTCTTGCCGTTGCATTCCCAGCACAGACTGCATCAGCAACCAGAAATGGAAAAATTAGATATGCCGAAAGGGCGACCATCGCCTGCTAAAAATCAGGCAATTTATGGCAAGGTTGGGCAAACTTGCCTGAAAAGCAAGAAATAAGGCGTAGAATGGCTTTGGGACATCGTTGACACCGAAGAGAAGCTGGCCTTCGGAAGGGCCGTTTCCCGAAGATTCCGAGATGGATATTGTCGTTTTATCCAGCATTTTTGAGAGATAAAATTTCTAAAAAGGATTCTCATTAATAGCTGTATTAAAAAAATGATGATAAAAAATCAAAAAAATTAAGAGAGACTGATTTAAAATCTAGCAGGGTTTCAAAATATTTATTTTATGTGTAAAATTTAAAGACAGCCGTCAAAACAGACGCTGCCACTGTCCGCCTCCCGGCCTTAAATGAAGTCATAGCCCCTGAAAAAGCAAATAATAAAAATTGCACACGCGATGGGCGGTGGGTGGCCTATGTGGTGGCAGAATGGCCGCTAGATATTCCGGTTGCACTGACCCAATCTTTTTCACGCGCTGATAAGCCGCTTTCACTCAGATCAATTTCTTCGGTTGGCAACTAGGAAGTGGTCTTTTAAGGATGGGCAGCTTCTTAAAAATACGTCATCGAAATTCGTAGGTGTGGCCTTGATTTCTACGCAATTCTACGCATTGGACTCCACTTTAAACTCTTCAAACTTCTTACCCTTACATCAATATAATCATTAGGTTAACGCTGCGTGAAGCATCTGAATTTACTAAAATTCCATTTTCGGAAGATGTATCAAAATTGGGTACCTACGGTCAAAACAGGCCTAAGGCTACGCTACGCGCCAAGCGACATTGGCTCCGTCGCTGCTTTGCTAGTTTGCTAGCCCCATTTCAAACTTGCAGAATTCCTTGTCCATACCTTAAAAGGTTAAACACGATAGGGATACCCGAGGCGTATTGTTTATTTTCGCTGGCCACCCCAGCAGCATCAGCCGGAACGCAGACAAGACTGATAAAACTATTGACCGCTTCCGATCCGGGCAACCCTTATTTTCGGCGCAATTTCAATGGGGCGCTGGGGCTTGGAATTCATCTTTTGCTGTTATTTCCTATGTATTGTGCGTGCTAACTTGCTGGGGGTGTCCAGTCATACTGTTGCCGTCAAGGGGCTGCTACAATGCGGAGAAGTGCCGGCTTTTGGTGTCATGGTTCGGTTGTTTCAGAGCGGCAAAGGTATGTTTTAAATCAATTTATTAAAATCAAATAAATAATCAGTTAATAAATCAAAAATAGATTTCCGGTCCCACAACGCTAGACTTTCAAACTATCCAAATTTAAGGCAAAAACCAGCCAACCCTTGCCGAGACGTTCGCGACGAAAGAAGGCACTTTCGAGCTGACCGCAACCCTTGATCACATTTTCCACCCAGATATTGTCGTCTACCATGACTGCAACGACGGCAAGAAGGTCACAAAACCAAGTTTCCACAATACTTTCAACACTTTTCAGCTGGGCCTTCGTCGTTTCCACTTTCGCGTCCCCGAGCATTATGTAACTGCCGGGTCTAAAGCGCAAAAGGTATTGAATTCCTAACCACATAATTTCGTTTTTAGGTGTTTGACTTGGGAAAGATTAACCTGGAATTTAAACCTTACAATGAGGAACGCTCAAATCAACATCGACGACGTCGAAACAAGGAAGTCGTAAGATTTTTTCATGTTGAAATAGTCTTTTAATCCACGTATTCTGGGCCACTCCACGGAAGTATTCATCAGGAAAAATATTCCAGGTATCCTGCGATCAATGTACGATCGAGGAAACCGTCAAAATAGACGAATCCGCCGAAGCGACGACACAAAAATCCAAATTCCACGGCCTCGACGAGAGTCCGGAGGCCAGAATCGATCCCTGGTAGTTGCAGCTCTCACCGGAAATACACAAATCAATTTATCGCATACACGAATAAATGACAGAAATTAAGCGGGAAATGAGTCGAATCGATGGGGAGCGGCAAAAGCTTCTGCATGGGGCGTTGAGGAAAGACAGGGCATCTAAACAGTCGAAGAGGCCCAAAAATGAGGGCGGGGAGATCACAGAATGCCGGATTTGTCGGGAAAGAGGAAAAAGCAAAAGGAAAACGGCAAAAATGCCCCGAACCGGGATCGAACCGGTGACCTTTAGATCTTCAGTCTAACGCTCTCCCAACTGAGCTATCGAGGCGCTGGGGCAGGGAGCGGGGGGTGGCCCTATGAGAGGTGGGGAGAGGGAATATGCGGTGTGGGAGAGTGGGGGAAGGGGAGTGAGGCGCAGACAACGAGGGGGTGTCTCGGGTTGGCCAAAGTGAACGAGCAATGGAAAAAGAGGGGGAGCGAAAGGGTAGTTTCCGGGCTTTTCGGTGGATTGAAAATAAAATGTAATAGGCATTAATGGATAGATATTTGATAGGTTATAATTAGGAAACAGACATTTTAAAATGGATATTTTTGGTGTTTTATAGATTAAGAGTACAGTTTACTTCCCCGAGTCGGCCCCAACTTTTGTATCTCGGCTCCACGTTTGTCTACCGGGTTGTAAAGTATAGCAAAATACTCGCCAGAGGAAAACGAACATTTTGGCATACTTTACAACAATGTAGCCAACGGGGAGCCAAAATACAAGAGGAGCGGAGGCGCGGCGTGAATTAAAGTTTCAAATAGCGGGCGAATACTTTCAAGGGCACAACCATCTCTCCATTCAATCGATATGTCACTTCTTTTGGCCGCAAGTGCTCGGCGTCACCGAGAAGTTGTTCGCGTATTTCTCTTTCGGCGAAAACGAGGCGCCGTACTGGGAAGAGTTGGAGTTGCGCTGGGCGAGGTGGTACCGATTGGATTGGTCATCTGGAAATTGATGGGTTTTTTCCGGGAGCTTGTAGTTTGTAGTGTAATGGACAGTGAGTAAATTGAGGGTATAAAAGAACATACAAAAAAATTAGAAAGTTCTATAAATTGGTAAGAAGGCAGTTTACCCTTCACCCCAGCCGGGCCGCAATCTTTGTATCTCGGCCTCCCGTTGGCCTAAAGGCGTGTAAAGCATACCAAAATATTCGCCTTGGTCTGGTGAGGATTTTGATATACTTAAAACCTTTTAAAAAAGGGAGCCGTGATACAATAGATGGGATCGGTTAGGCCCTGGTAAACTGCGCCAATGCCTTAAAAGCTTGTTAATTCCTATGAATCTGCTAGAAGTCCGTTGATGAACTGTTGTTGCGCAACGTAGCGTGGCGTACTGGGTTAGTGAAGCTAAAGCCAATAATTTCAAGGGTCTATCTAGGGGGCGGCCTACTTACACAAAGGATACTGACTCTTGTCCACCGTCCAGTTGCGCCCATTCTTCTCGGCCTTCGCCTTCTGCTCGGCCTGCCAGTATTGGGCGTATTCCTTCGAGTAGTGATTGGAGCTCGGGTCTAAAAGATGGTATGACAATATGCGATAGGTATCCTAGGAGTAATTCACACAAAAAAACCTTTTTAAGGCCTACCACTGTCCCTTTTCCGGCGGTTTCGCGGTGATGAATAGTCGTAGAAATGGGGTTCCTTTGTCATTGATGAGCCCATTTTCTATAATAGCACATAATTTCTAGAATCGTTATATAAAGGTGTATTAGAAAATAAAAGACAGAGAAAAGGGTTGACACGGATTTTCTGCAATAATGGAGGAATACAGGGTGTCCCAAAATAAACCCCAACCTAGCGGCCCGCAGTCGTGTCCGATTTGTACGCTTTATATATATCGAAAGCTCCCTAAAAGGCGAGAAAACAAGGAGGGTTCCTTTTCTTTATTATGTATTTTTATTCGCTAATTTTGGACAAAAACCATGAAAACTGCTGATTTATCCAAGATCCGCATGCTAATTGCCAAATTCCTGTTGAAAAAGTACCAGTTTTCTAGAAAAACCTTAAATATCGATGGAATTGGATTAAATCTTAGGAAACAAAAGGAATTTTTTCGCCTTTTCAAGAGCTTTCGATTGATAGTTAAATCGTAAAAATCGGACACGACTGTGGACCGCTAGGCAGGGGGGGGTTTGGGACACCCTGTGGACCTTCAACTCCTACCCCACCCCCTGTTCGACCGCGGAAGTTGTCATTTAGCAAAAACACAAAGGTGAGAACCGGAACACCCGCCGTTGTTTGAAGATGTTTATGGGTGTTAGGGCAAGTGTTCTAGATGGGCTGATTGCTGGAGATCACCAGGGAGAGGGGAGGAGAAGCCCCGATCGAGTGAACAGCGGAACAGGCGGATCCGCCACCTATCCCCCCCCCCCCTGCTCTAACCCGGATCCATCATATTCAACTGACGACCCTTTGGCCTCAACGTCAGGGCCCTAACAGCCAAAGCTCTCAAGAGATGGCCCGTAAAACATGGCGAAGAAAAAGTGCCATGTTCTTCGGTTCCAAAAAAATGGACCCGACGTCCTGATGGCCTGATTTTGAAGGGGGGTGGGGAGAAAAGAGAAAAAACTTGGGTCTCCGGTAGGATTTCAATTGCCAGGAGATGGAGATGCTCCTTCGCATGAGCTATCATACCAAAAATTTCAAAAATTTTATAAAACTTGTCTAAAAATGCAGGGCAGGACCACATCGCGATAAAAATTATTTTTCCGGAAAGATTCCGAAAATTTGCGTACGATAGTTGATGCGAAAGAACATCTCTTTCTGTACAAGATGCGCTAATTTACTTTCGACAAAATAGTTTCTCTCGACTTTTTCCAGGTGCCGAACTTGCAATTTTGAGCAGTTTGGTCCTAAAATGTGCTATAACTTTGTCAAAATGCCGATTAAGCAAATTTCGAAAACAGGTTGGGATCAGCGCAAAATCCTGCTCAAGATAGGCTTGGTCATGCTCAAAACTAGGATGTCACTCAAAAACGTCTCCTCGTTAGGGTTTCGAAAATCCCGATTCTCAAATTTGATAAACATAACCGGAATCAGCGTTAATTTCTGCACAAAATGGGCTTGACCTCAACTTAAAACCCGACGAGACCTGACAAAAACGTCTCCTTGTTAGCCACGAATCCTCACCCAAACAAGAATTAAACGTAAATACATCGAATCTGGCCGTGCGGGCCAAAACAAGGAGGGCCCTTTTGAGGATGTCCCAATTAGACTGGGGGCCCCTCGGGGAATTCAAAAGTGTCCGGTTCTTAGAATAGACACGGTGTGGTTGTGGATCATATTCGTCGTCTACCCACCCCAAAACATGAAAACACACACAGACCTCCTGGCGTGGCGACTCGGTGCCAATTCGGGCGTGATTCCGCAAGAACAGCTTCGGCCGGTGAATCTGACGAATTTGATCCCCGCCCACTGGATTTCAATGTCAAAGATCGGAAATAGACCTGGTTTAGCTTTTTGAAATTGTTGGTCGATGATATTTAGCCAATTTTTCGTGTTAAAGACGAATTACATAGGCGTTTCATTGGCTCATTATTGCTATAACATTTTCTAGGGGTAAAAAAGAGTCTCGATGCGAAAACGCTCTGAAAAGGGATCCACAATTTATTTATGTTATCAATAAATTACAGTAGCTAACGGGCGCCTCGTAGCCCCTTACTACACATTTCGGACCGCCCCCCCCCCCCCCTAACTGCATTAGCACCCAGCTTGAATGTAACGCCGCGAAATTCCAGAACAAAAAGGGCCAAAAACCAAGTACCGCTTCAGAAATCATTCCATTAAGCCCAACTTAACTCAAAAATCACAGTAATAAATCGTGAGAAAAGGAAGGAAGCTGCAGGAGCTGGATACGCGATACTACGAGAAGACACGTGAGTGAGTGAGTGAGCGTATCCCCAACACCCAATCCATCTACCCCCCACCCACCCACCCACCCCAACAAACGACAGCTGCTTGTTTTCCGCCGCCACGCCACATACTTACGGTGCCGATCGGCGGATTTCCGAAATGGCCCCAGATGAGGGAGAGCGGCCACTTTCACACCGGCCAACCCTCATATTCAGGAAATCCACCCTCCATTCGAGTGGTGGACCCCAGGAGGCTATGGTCATCAAGGATTCCGGAATTTATCATCCTTCCGGGGAAGTGGGATCTTTTGAGGTATGGAAGGGGCTGAGAGTGCAATCGAGGTTTTCGGCAAGTTTTGATCGCGATTTAGGAGGGTGAGACAAGACCCCGGAAAGCCCAAGCCTCTGTCTATGACTAACCTTAAGCCTGCCGATATCACTAAGCTTGCGTCTACATCTGAGCTAGAGCCTGAGCGTACGCATAGGCCTTGGCTTAGCCTAGGTCTAGGCTTAAGCCTATAACTAAGCCTACGTGAATCTTAAAGATGAGGCTAGGCATATGACTAACCTTCAGCCTGCCGATATCACTAAACCTAAGCCTGAGCCGGAGCGTACGCATCAACCTCGGTTTAGCCTAGGTCTAAGCTTAAGCCTATGAACAAGCCTAAGCCTAAGTTAATCCTGAGTCTTCGCCTAAGCCGATGCTTATGCCTAAGCTCACGACGATGGGTAAGTCTAAGCCCAAAACTAACACAGAGCCTGAGACTGAGCATGAGGGTACGTCTATGCCTGATCCTAGCTTAAGCTTAAGCTTCCTTGTTAGGCCTGAGCCTGAGCTGAATCACAAGCTTTAGCGCGCTCTAAACCTAAAACTTGTGCAAAAGACACCCACATACCTTTAGCACTTCCATCTCGCCCACTTGATTAATCATGTATCATCCCAAATCCCCCCAACTCCTCTCGCAACTTTTCCCCATTGCGAGAATTTTAAATTCAAACCGGAAGTTTTTATATGAACAAGTAGCTCGTAGGAGGTTTCCTAGGCTTAAGTGCAGTTTACCCCCCCCCCCCCCCCCCCCCAGCCGAACCCCACCTAACGTATCTCGGCTCCTTGTTCATCTACAGGTG